CTCCCTTACACTGTTTTCCTGTTTTTTAATTGTTTTTTCTTTTTCTTTTTTCTTTTTTGGTTATTTGATTAATTTTTTTCCTACTCTGTCTTCTAATTCACTGATTTGATCATCAGCTTTCCCTAATCTGCTATGTATTCACTCCAATGTATTCTTTATTAGTGCTATGTCATTCTTTATTTCTGACTATTCTTTTTTCATAGTTATTATGCTGTTGCACATATTTATTATCATTATTCTGAACTCTATATCAGATAAATTTCTTATCTCCATTACATTTATCGTTTTTTCTGAAGAATTTTCATGTTTTTTCAATTAGGGGTTGTTTTTTTTTTGTCTCTCCATTTTGGCTACCTGTTTGGGTTTTATTAGGTGTCTATATATTAGATAGATCTGCTATAACTCCTAATCTCTAATGCAGGGCAATGTCAGATACTATTTCTGATTAGCCCTGAATGCCCTATTTGGGTCTGCCAACAATCCACAGCTTGCAGCATCCTCTGCTTAGTTCTCCCAAGATGTGCCCCAGCGTCTGCTTTTCCTAGCTCCAGGCCTAGAAGGAGTCAGGCAAAGACTCTAAGCCTCCGGAGATCTGCAGTCTGATTGTTTTCAGCCTTGATTGGCCTTGGGCTATGTACCACAGGGTAGGGCCAGAGTTTTCCCAACAGGGTGTGGCAACTGTATTTCCCCCAGGCCAAAACCACCAGGACAGCAAAGGTCTGTAGGAGAAAGATGTCCTCAGCAGCATGAGGGAATGACTCAGCAGAGGAAACCAGGGTGGTTGTCCTCTGAGCACCAACTCCAAAGCCCCCAATCCTGGACTCTCCTCACCCAGCTCCAGTCCACTCTGCCTTCTCTCTAACAGAGACCAAGGGGAGTGGCTACACACAAAACTTTGTGTGTTGTCTCTTTTTAAGAGTGTGCATGCATTTCCAACTGTCTCTGGTTGGCAGACAGCAACCCTGTTGCTTTTCCAGTTCCTTAGTTCTGGAGCCCAGTTCTGGGTTTAGATCCCAGAGTTCTCAGTGGGAACCTACCACAACTGAGATATCCCTACCGAACCTTCAACTGCTGTCTGGGGGAGCCCAGCCACCCCTTTCACATCTTTTCCCTTCCTACCAGTCTCTACTTTCTGTCCTTGGTTATGAGGGTTCTCTCCAGCAAGTCTTTAGTTGATTTTTCACAGTGTTTTTTTTTCTTTCTTAATTTGAGTTGTATTTCCAGTACATCCTTCGATTGTCAGTGTGGCTTTCACTTACTCTGGAGCTATTTTTTAATAGAAATATTTCCATTTTAAAATATCCACAATCATGGTAGCTCTCTTGGGGAGGCAAGCATCTGGGAACCCAGGCTGGGCAGGCTGTGTCCAGCTGAAAATAATTTTGATCCTTGGAGAAGGCAGGAAAGTGGTATAGACTATGGGCTGATTTTTTTTGGATTTAAAATATTTTGAAAAATTATGTCATATTGTCTTTTAAATTATAAAATATAATATTAAGCATATGGCGTTCTTAAATTTATATTTTTGCTTTGGGCTTGGAACCTCCTTAGCTTTGTTCTTGCCTCTTTGTTTTGTCTTTAGTGGCTTCCTGGAAGGTTCCAAGAAAAATACTGAACTAAAAACACAAAGGTCCCACCCCTTACTCCATCACTCTGGTAGTGTGTGTCCCAAGACTACTGAGCTATGTGCCCACAACCCTGGGCCTGAGTGTGTTTGGGGGAAGAAGAAGCTTGTGAGAGGCTTGAAAATGAATTGAATTGTTAATTTTTAAAATGCTGGCATGCAGCCTGCTCCAGGGAAGAAAACTGGGTGGGCCATGACCTCAAGCCGACAACAGAGAGCCACTGGAACTCCAGAAAGCCCGTCCCTGCAGCCTCAGATAGAGTGTTTTTGTGTTTGGGCACTGGGTCAGGGCCCTGTTTTTACTTTTCATGAATATTCTAGTCTTCAGCCTCCTCATTTCTTAGCTGCTGATTTCATTTTTCTGAGAGAGTTTACTTGCCCACTGACCCCAGAGCAGTCCCCTATCTCAGTTCCAAGTGTATTTTCTTTCTTTCTTTTTTGTTAATCCTCATCCAAGGATATTTTCCCCCCCATTGTTTTCTAAAGAGAGTGAGAGGAAGGGAGGGCAGAAAGGAGAGCGGAGGGAGGGGATGAGAGAGAGACAGACAGACGTTGATGTGAGAGAGACACATTGATTAGTTGCTTTCTGCATGTGCCCAGACCAGGAGCAGGAATTAAACCTGCTCTTGACTGGGAATCAAACCTGTGACCCTTTAGTACACAGGCATACACTCTAACCACTGAACCACATCAGCCAGGGCCCAAGTGTGTTTTCACAGGAACTACAGGATGGTCTTCTCTGGGGCCTACTGCTGGGATGGTCTGCTATCCTCCTATATGTCTAGCCTGGGCTCTGCACCCCTGCCTACTCTCAGTCTATTCTTCAGAGTATAGCTAGCACCATCCTTTAAAAACCTAAGTCAGCCCATGAGAGCCCCTTGCTAAAGATTCCTCTAGCGTCCTAAGCTTGGGCACACCCTCTGCTCCAGCCACACAGCCAGCTTGCTCCCAGGCACACTTCTCCCGGGCGTTCGCTTTTGCTGGTCCCCAGCCTGGAGCATTCCTCCCCAGATATCTGCCTGGTCCAGTTTTCCCATGGTTAGGGTTTCTCCTTAAATGTCATCTCCTCAGAAAAGGTGTGTGTTTTTTTTTTAAATCCTAAATCTAGAAGGCCGTCCTGCCTCTCTCTCCCCTTTCCTCCTTTCCTGGACTGATTTTTCTCCACAGCGCCTATGACTACCTGCCACTGTGTTTCTGCTTGTTGATCTACTGTCTGTCGCCCCAGGTCTAGTGAGAGCAGACGTTGCCTGTTCTGTTCACTGCTATTCCCCACCCTAGCTCCTGGCGTATTAGGGGCACAATAAATATTGTTGCCTGACCACATGGACCCCATATGACTTGCGTTCCTTGGTGCTGAGATAACCTGTTACCAGTTTGATGCCTTAGGTGCTCCTGTTACCACCCCATTTCAATGACTTCAGATAGACACCGAGCCCATGCCTCTCTCCTGGATGGCATACTTAATTGCCTCCCCAGAGTGTCTAACAGGTGTCTTAAACTTAACATGCTCCAAATTCAATTCTTTAATGTTCCCCACAAACTTATTCTGCACAGCAGGTGGTCATTGGTGATTCTAGCTTTCTGGCCAGAAAACTTGGAGTAATTCCTGACTTCTGTCTTCCTCTCAGACCTCACATGCAATCTCTCAGGAAGCCCGACCTTGCACGTGGTCCAGAACCCAGCAGATTTTCCACACCCGACCTGGGACCACAGCAGTCCCAGCGCTATCGTCCTTCCCTGTACGGCGGGGCAGCTTCCTTATTGGTCTCCCTGCTTTCACCCTGACTTAGCCCCTCAGACTAGAACTTATTCCCCACAGACTAGCTTCACAGATCCCTTGAAAACACAGGTCAGTCCAGTGTAGGCACATTTATAGACGGAAGGCAGAATAGTGTTGCCTGGAGCTGAGTGGTTAGGCAGAAGCGGGAGTGACTGCTAACAGGTACAGGACTTTCCTTGGGGGGTAAAATGGTCTAAAATTGATTGTGGTGACCCATGCAGAACTTTCAATACATTAAAACCATTGAGTTGTTTAAAAAAGCAAATAAACATATTTTTTAACATTAAAATGTCTTGTCCCTTCCCTGCTCAAAACTCTCAGTGGCTCCCATTTCACCCTGAATTAAAGCCAGGGCCTTTGTGATGCTTACTAGGTCTCCCTAATTTGGCTCCCATCACCTGCCTGACCTTTCCCGACCTCTCCCTCTTTTTTCACCCCACAGGTGCCATGATGGTCCCTGATGTTCCTAGAGCTGCTGTGCTCATTCCCACCTCGGGGCCTCTGTTCTTGCTGTTCCCTCTGTCCGGGATGTTCAAATGGCTCGTGCCTCACCTCCTCCAGGCCTTTACCCAGACCTCACCTTTCCAGGGAGGCCTTCCCAGACCATGCTACCTTCCTTAATGTCACCCTGATACTTCCCATTCCCCTCCCCAGACTTAGCTCCTCCCTCCCCCTTTAGAATTTATCGTAACCTGACATTCCATGTATTTGACTTGCTCATCATATTACTGACTGCCTTGCCCACTAGAATGTAAGCTCCGTGAGGGTGGAATTTTTGTCTGTTTTGTCCCAAGAGGACTTCTGGCACATAGAACAAGCCTGACACAAGCACTTCGGGTGTTTGTGGAATGACAACGATGGGTGGGATGACGGGTGGCAGGGAGTGGCCTGGTGTGGAGCCTCCCAGCTCAGTCCCCAGAGGAAACCCTTGAGTGGGCAAAGCCCTGCGTTCACTCTGGGCCTGAATCAGGGGATTCTTTAGCACCAGGAGCAACAGCTAACATAGCAGGAGGGTGAATTGTATAGTATTTCTGAGCCTGAGTTTCCTCATCTATAAGAGAGAACCTATCTCCTAAGGCTGTTGTGAGGAAGCAGCTAGGACAGTGCCAAGCACAGTGCCGGGTAGTTATGATTCTGACTACCCAGGGTGTGAAAGAGAGGCTGTACAATGAGGAACAGGAAAATGAGAGACAGGAACACAAGGCGTGTGTGGGGCAGGGAGGCAGAGTGGATTGCACAGAGAGAGGAATGGCCCTGAAGAGGCAGCGGAGAGAGGCCACGATGAGTATGGAAGGGAAGGGAGGGACGTGTAGATCTGTCCTGCGTATCTTTCAAAAGACACAGGGAGGCTGGTGAAGGAGGAGGCAGGCAAGGGGGCGGGGAAGGGATAGGAGGGGAAAGTGGGAGTCCTTAAGAGCAGGAACAAGGCCCTGTATGCCTCAGCATCTACAGTTGTGCCCTCACAGGGCTTGGTGCACAGGCGGAACTCAGAAGATGCTCATTGACCAGGAACGCCAGCAGGAGCCATGAAGCATTGCCTGTCCCCCTGGCCTCCTGGCTTTCACTCCCATGTGTGCTAGTGGTTGCCAAAGTTACCTGCTGAGCTGCTCCTGCAGTGCCTTCAGCTCTCTCTCCTGCTCCTTCAGCAGCTGTTCCTGGTGCAGGGCTTGCTCCTTGGTCTTCTGCAGCCTTTGTCTGAGGGTCTGGGGGAGGGGAGGAAGGAGGAAAGGGAGCTGAAAAAGAGCGTCATGGACCCCAGCCCAAAAATGACTTGACAAAGGACCCCATGAGACTTCAGACCATGTGAGACCACCCTTGGGTGGAAGGAAGGACTGAAGATAACACGGGAACTGTGATGCCTGGCTCTGCCCCTGGCTGAGCACGAGCCACCATGTCTTCCTTCACTGAGGGGTGGAAGTTACAAAGCTCAAGGACCAGAAGACTCTGGCTAAGGAGGAGGCTGAAGGAAGGCTTATACACAGTCTTGGGTGACCTCCAGAAGACCATCTACGAGAGCAACTAGGTGCGGTCTGCAGCAGTAGGGTTTGCATACCGGCAGGAAGCCTGCTGAGAATGAGAGCTGTGAGACCCGAGTAAAACAACTCAGAGAACTGTTGGAAAGGTATCGCAAATGCAGACATCTTTAGGGGCAAGGTAGCAGCACTGAGGAATAGAATGAGCCTGATATGAGGCAATGGGCAGAGGGGGGGACTATGGTGAATTAAAGAATGCGTATCTTTCAAAAGACATCCTCAAATAACAATGATCCTAAACCTGTATGGGCTAATAAATATTGATCTGTGGGCTGGAATGATCCCCAGGCTACCAGTGGGGCTAATTTATACTGGGGACAACAGACAGGAACAGGGCTCAACTGCTCTCACCTTGACCACATCCTGCAAGGCCACCTCTGCTTGCTCTTCCTTCCTGGCCACACTGGTCACTCCTGTGTGCTCCTGTGGCTTCTCTGTGGTGGAGCCTTCCTTTATTCCCAGGCCCCGAAGGACGCTGGGCTCCCCCAGAATGCTAGGCTCCTTGTTCTCCTGCCTGTTCCGTGACATGGAGCTCTCATTCGTCCCTCTGGGGCTGGAGACCAGCAACCCTTGGTCGTGACCCCACTCTGCTTCCCTTTCTTGAGTCCCCTCTGTTGTTCTTGGACCCTCTGTACTCAGCACAGCCCCTTGGCCCTCACCCTCTGTCCCTACCACCTCCTTCAGAGCCTGACTGGCCCTCTCTCTTGGCCCCGGGATGCTGGGTGTGGAGTGTTCCAGGCAGATCCCTGACCGTGGGGCTCCCATCTCCTGGTCTTGCTGTAGCTTCTCCCTCTCTGGTTCCCGCATGCTGTGGGGGGTCCTGAGGCTTCCAGGATCTTCTTTGTTTTTTTCCAAAAAGGGAGGCAGATGCCCGTGTTGCTGGGACCTGAGGAGTCCAGCCAACCGGTCTTCCCCTGGTGCATCCCGCAGACAGCTGGCCTGGCTGGTGTGTGCCTCCTCTGGCTGGGCTCCTTTGGGGCCTCCAGTGACAGTTGAAATCTGCAGAGAAGCCCCAAACCCATCATCATCCTTCTCAGCACCAATTCACTGGCTGGTGCAGGGAAAGCCCACAGCCCTGGTGCAACAGGCTTGTACATATATGGATTCCCAGGCCCTCCCTCTGGTGCGCAGATCTGCGAGAGGGTCAGGAATGTGAACGTTAACACCTGGCGATCTGATCCCAGAGCCCAGCTTTGGCCTGATCAGGGAGCAGCAGTGCTTCTCTTCTCAGTTTCCTTTCCTCCCTCACCACCAGCTCACACCCTTCTCCCTCTTTCATTTCTACCTTCTGCATGACTCTGGTTTCCCCTAAGCTCTTCCCATGCCTCTCCTCTGATCTTTCCTCCGAACTTGACTTCTTATCTGCAAAATGGGAATAATCATACCTGCCCTGTAGGGTTGTGATGAAAACTTAGATTGACCAACAGTCTGCTAAGAGTCAGCTGTGCTAAGAAGCCTTCTCTGGACCCCATGTTCCCCTGTGGATGCCTGCATCCCTATGCTTCACGTGTCATGTTGTAGCGTGTTCCTTTAGGATCTGCCTCCCTGAACAGACCTGGAAGTCCTTCAGGTCAGAGACTGAGTCCTCACAGTGTTTGGACCTGGTGCCTGGAAGCTGGTGGGGGTGCAAGGCATGCACGTGGAATGATGATAACTGCCAACTATCACTTGCTGAGCACAGGGCAGGAGCCTCGCTCTGTGCTACCATGGTCTGTTTCAAGGTGTCCTCACCATCACCCTGCAAGCATGGCAAGTCATGTGCTGAAGGGCCGTGGTGAGTAAGGGCTGGAGCTGGGATTTGAACCAGGTGATCTGGCTCTTCTTCAACCGCTCTCTGAACTGAAGTGAGACATTGGCAAATTATCCAGAAGAGGTGGTTTCCCTGGACTGTTTCCTATAAGCTTCTGGCCTGCCTCTCTAGCACCTCCTCCTCCCCTGGGCCCCCCTGGCTTCTGCAGATGATGCCAGCCATCCCTTTCTCTCCCCGGTATCCCCACCACTTAGGAATATGAGCCTCTCTTCTATGGGTCCCCAGTCCCCCTGTCCACACATTGGCCTTTCGGTCTGTCTGTCCAGTTGGTGCAGGGCTCAGTTATTGCTCAACCCAGGGGCAGGGTTCCAGCAGAGATGGAGAAGTGGCAACTCAGAGTGAAGGTCAGGCAGAAGCACCTCCTTTGGGGAGTCTTTGGTTTTTCTGGGTCTTCCCTGGGTCCGGCTGGAATTAGAACAGCGGGACCTGAAAGTAAAAGGGGCAGGGGGATCCTGAACCTCTCTCCAGAAGTGGTCTTAGCTCTTGGATGCAGGATATCCTATCGTTCCAGCCACCCATTCATCCCACCACCTTTCACCTTCCTTCCCTCCCACCCTCGTGCACGCACCCCCCTCTTCATCCATCCCTGCATCCCCACCCTGCGTTTAGCCTCCATCCATTCATCCCTCTAACACTCTACCCCAGCCACCCAACAACCCTGTAGAGAGTATATTCTATGCAGCATCACGGGCATCATTAGACTATCCTGAAGGCTAGGGAGGCGGAGATTCAGGGGCTCAGAAAGCAAGAAGGGGGGGAGAAATGGATGGTGCTAGAGGCTGAGGACTTGGGGCTTGCTCGGGATGGGTGGCAGCGGTGGCAGCAGGAGTGAAAAGAAGCTTCCCTCCACGTGCAGCCACTCACTCTGAGAACATGGGCCAGGCCCCGTCCAGGTCCGGCCGCTGCAGGTCCAAGTCGAAGGCCACCCCGTTGAGAGCATAGAGGGCGTCCAGGATGTCTTCCCGGAGTTCAGGGCACACCAGAGGGCTCCGGGCTCCGTACCATTCCCTGTGTTCACAGTGATCAGCACCAGTGGCCTTTGGCCCTGGTGCTGTCGCCACTCCCAGCCTCAGAGAATCCACCTCGGCTGCATACCGCGATGGGACAGTCCCCCAGGCAGGGCTGTGGCTTTCATGACTGGGCTTCTAACCTCCCACCCGCTTTTTCTTCCTTGTCTTTCCCCTCATCTCTCTCATTTGGCATTGACCCATCCCTGTGGGGACGAAGGGGGAAGCTTCTTGAAGGAGGGACCCTGGGCTCGGGTACGAGCGGGAGCGTGCCCACCTGGTGAGCTCTGGGCTCAGCAGGCAGAGCTGCAGGCACTCGGCCAGCTGTCCGTGGGCAAGACAGAAGCGGATGAAGGCACGGCCTTTCCCCAGAGGGGTCTTCAGCTGCAGGGCACGCGGGGGACAAAGCGGGTGGTGTTAGCCAGCACAGAGAGGGCACGGTGCTTGAAGAGAAAGGGTGTCATGGGACTTGGGGCGATGGGAGGAAAGGGTGGCTGGAGGGGTGCTGAGGACAGCACTAATGAGAGCTGAGGACCGGCGAGGGAGGGGGTTGGGGAAGAGGGGTATCTATGGTCAGTGGAGCTGGGATGGATAAGAAAAGGGCCTCGGCCAGGCCGGGTCCCCTAGCCCCCGTGATCCCCACCAAGGGCCTGGTGGCAGGGCCCCGTCATGCTGGGGCCAGCCTGCCTGCCACGTGGCCCTGGGTACCTTGGCCTGGGAGTGGACAAAGAGGACTGGCTCTGCGTCCCCCCGCTGCTGCCTCAGGGCGGCGCAGAGAAAATCCCAGTAATCCTTCTGAGGCCTCAGGAAGCTCTTCTGCTGCTTCTGGTCAAACTGGGAGCCAGAGGAGGGAAAGGAATCTTAGAAATCTTCCTCCTAGGACCCACCCTGTGACCCAGCATGCTGAGCAGACACAGGGCAGAGGGGCAAGGGCTTGTGCAGACAGACCTGGCTCAGGTCCTGGCGCTGCCCTTACTGGCGGTGTGGCCGGGAGCAAAATGCTTGACCTCTCTGAGCCTTCAGTGTTCCCATCCGTTCATTCCAGACATACTTACCGAGCGCTCCCTCTGGGCCAGACCTGGTCTAGGTCCAGGGGGCACCGCAATGAACAAACTGACCTCAGGGGCTTATAGCTTGGAAGGGGAGACAGAAAAGGAACAAACTGAAAAAGTAAGCTATATACTATTAGATAGTACTGACAGCTGAGGAGAAAAAACAAAGCAGAGAAATGGAATAGGAATTGGGTGGTGTGTGCACACATGTGTGTATGTGGTGGTGTGTATGTGTGGTGTGTGTGATGTGTGTATGTTAAAAATTTAGATGAGGTAGTTAGAGAAAGAGGAGACACTATTCAAGCTGAAATCAGAAGGAGATGAAAAAGCGGACCATCTACATTTGTGGGGGAAGAGCATTCCAGGCGGGTGAAATATACGTGCAAAGGCCCTGTGGTGGGCCCATTCCTGGTGTGCTTCAGAAGAGCAAGGAGGCCAGTGTGGCTAGAGGGCAGCAGATGGAGGGCAGACTGGCAGGAGACTCACACATGTCCATACCACATATACACAGACCTCACACACTCACACCCAAACCCGCCCCCACACCACACACACACACACACACACACACACACACAATCAGGTACGTAGGAAGGGTGTACGTATAATGTGGGGAACGGGCAGGTCATGAATCGCTTCAGGGGGTCAGAGTGGAAATTGCACAAGGTGGGCATGTAAAGGCTTAGCCTGGCTCACAGTGGGTGCTCAGTAAACCTAGTGGGAGTGATGACGGGGCTCTAACCAGCAGCAAGGAAGGCCGGCTCTAGGACATCTGTGCCTCTGAAACTGGAGTCCTCCGCTGGGTGGTGGTCCCTAGCTCCACCGTGCCGCAGCCCTCCCCCCCTCCCCTCCCCTCCCCTCCCGTTCCCTCTCCCCTCCCCTCCCCTCCCCTCCCCTCCCCTCCCGTTCCCTCTCCCCTCCCCTCCCGTTCCCTCTCCTCCCCTCTCCTCTCCCTCCCCTCCCCTCTCTTTTCCCCTCCCCTCCCCTCTCCCTCTCCACCCTTCCCCTCCCCTTCCCTCCCCTCTCCTCCCTCTTCCTCCCCGGCTCCATGAGTGAGGTTAGATGTCAGGAAGGTCTTGCTGACTGAGGGGGACCAGGTGGTGCATGGGAGCAGAGGAAGGGGCTCTTCGCTCAGGATCTGGGCAAGCCCTCACGGTTATCGGAGCCTGGAGAGAGAGGAAGGGAGGGGACCGAGGGGAGGACAGGGTGGGGAAGGGCAGGGCCCCACCTGCAGCAGCCGCTCCAGGCAGCCACAGAGTCCGTGCAGCTCCGCGCTGGCGTCTGTGACCCGATGCCCACCCCCATAGCCCTGGAGGATGGCGGAGACAGCAGCTGTGAGGAGGACGGTGGGCGTCAGACATCAGGGAGTGAGGTCTCTGAGGCCCCAAGACCCCCCCTCTCTCCCTCAGTCCAGCCCCAGGGAACCTCTCACCTTTCAGGTCCCTGGTGACCTTGAGGGCAGCCCCCTCTCCTGCCATGAATGTCTGAGATGATGTGATGCCTGTGGCTCTGGACGTTCACCCCGGAAGGAGCCTCTGGGCTCGGCTGTCCGATCCTCTCCTCACAGGAAGGAAGAATCAGCCTAGAGGAGGGAAGGGATGGCTCTAGGGTCACAGTGAGTTCACAGGCAGCTTAAAACCCCAGCTCCCTCTTGTAGGCAGTGTGGGAAGGTGCTGGGTGGCCCCACTTATAGAGCAGTTCCTGGTGCCTGATACCTTTGTCTCACTCAGACCCCACAAATGGAGGTTATCAACTCCATTTTAGACAAGGCGAAAGGGGGCTCAGAGAGGGTAAGTCTTTTACCCAACGCCACAAAGCTCTGAGTTGTGAAACTAGAATTTTTTTAAAGACAGATTCTTTTTTAATATATATATATATATATATATATATATATATATATATATTATTGATTTTTTATAGAGAGGAAGAGAGAGGGATAGAGAGTTAGAAACATTAATGAGAGAGAATCACCCATCAGCTGCCACTTGCTCGCCCCCTACTGGGGATGTGCCCGCAACTAAGGTACATGCCCTTGACCAGAATAGAACCCGGGACCTTTCAGTCCGCAGGCCGATGCTCTATCCACTGAGCCAAGCCGGTTTCGGCTGAAACTAGAATTTGAACTCAGGTCTGTGTGCCCCCAGCCCTGACTCGATGCGAGGGTGCCTGTTGGTGTTCCCGCCATGTGGGTGCTGGGCTGAGGGACCGTCACCCTCTTCTCACAGGGAGCCTTTCCAGAGAGTCATCGTCCTTGATGACACATTCTCATCCTTTCCTGATCCCCAGCCGAGCGGAAAATATCGGAAAATACCGGAAAATATGCGTTCTTTGGGGAGAGGGAGGCGGAAGTGAGGCGAGGCCTGAGAGCAGGGACTGGAGTGTGGGGGGTAGGACACCTGGTTTTAATCCTGCTGCTCTCTCCCCATTAAATCTCAGCGTGCTCCCCTCCCCCCAGCGGGTCCTGAGGGCCAGAGGGCTTATTCTGAGAGCCTGGAGTAGAGACGGGGCACGGGGTAGGAAAGACTGGGCATTGGGGTCGTGCTCCCCAGGCTGTGGCTGGTTGCTGGAACGTGGGGGTGGGTGAACGGGAAGAAGCAGTGGGGCACAGGGGAGCGGACAGGATGGGAAAAAGGAGAGGAAGGAGGGAGGGTGGGTGGGGGTGGCATTCAGGGAACACTGAGCTGGGAGTCAGGGGCTGGGTCTCAATCGTGGCCCCGGAATTTATCGTGACCTTGGGCACGGCACTCGCCTTTCTTGGGCCTCAGTTTCCCCATAGGTGGACCAAGGGGTCGCATTGAGGGTCTCTGAGGTCCCTCCCAGACCACACTGGTGACAAATCCACGCACACCTGTATGCATCTTGTCCTGTCCCTCGTACCCATCCCGATTTCCCAGCTTCTCCCCCCTGGCATCCTTCCCCTCCTCCAGCCTCCCCGGACCCCGGGGTCTGTCTGTACTCACCCGGGAAGGCCTGGCTGGAGGAGGCACAGAGAGCCGGAGCCTGCCACTTGTGGCTCTAGTCCTGGCCCTGGTCTCAGAGTGTGCCGCCCAGGCGGTGACTCAGGCCCAGACCGGCACTCTGGAGGGGAAACCCTGCTCCGAGCGGGGAGGAGCAGAAGACGACGGGGAGAAGTGGCAGAGGCAAGGTCAAGGGCAGCAGGGCAGCATGGCTGAGCCGGGGGTGATGAGCTGGCCACACAGGGACTCAGGCAGGGGTGGGAGCAGCAACTGCTGTTCAAGTTCCCTTCCCTTCCCATCCCGGCCGCTTGCGTTGTGTTTCCTCCCCATCACCACCAGGTGGCGCCACGAGGCCGGGATGCTGCCCCTCGGATGCGCCGCCCGTGTTTCCCGGCCACTTGGAGTGCGAGGCAGGTGGGGAGGGGAAGGCAGGGGCCCCATCACCTGTCTCCCTCCTCCTCCCCCGCCTCCGTCTCCCCAGGGGCTCCCCATCCTGCCAGTCCCGTTACTCAGCCCTGAAGGGAGGGACGCGGCCCTGGCGCGGTGCTGGCTGCGGGAAGGGGCCAGGCGGGCTGCCCAGGGGGCCGTGGCCCTTCCGCGCTGGGCGTGCTCTGCCTCCTGGAGCCAGGTCCTCCCGCCGCCCGGCCTCGCTCTTCCAGGCGGGGGTGGCCCCGGGGCTGGCGCTGGGGCAGAGCCCCGGGGGCGGCCCCTGGGAGGGGACTGATCGCCAACCCCGGAGGCTCACGTGCGCCCCACTCTCTGCGCCCGCCCCGGGCCGCCTCCCCTTCCTGGACCGGGTCCCCCCTCCTGCCCCCCGCGCCCCTGTCCCCCCTCATTCTCTCTCCTTATCTGCTTCCTGCCTCTGCCGGCGCCCCGTCCTACCTCTCCCCACTCCAGCCCGGCCCGCGCCCCAGCCCGGGACCCGCCGCCCGCCCGCGCCCCGCCCCGGGCTCCCTGGCACTGGTTGTGCCCGTGTCGCCGCCCCTCGCCGCCCCGGCTCCCGGCTTCCAGGCTCCGGGAGGGAGGGGCCGGGCCGGGCCGGGCCGGGGGCGTCGCCCCCTCCGCCTCCAGTCGGAGCGCCGGGGCGGGGGGCGGGCCGGCTCCGGGCGCCCGGTCCCGCCCCGGGTGCGCGGTGCACAGGCCGCTCCGGGCGCCGGCCGGATGGGCTGCACCGTGAGCCTGGTGTGCTGCGAGGCGCTGGAGCCCGGGCCCTCCGGCGGCCCCCCGCCCCCGGGCAGCCCCCCGGGGAGCCCCCCGGGCCCCGCGCGGGGCCGGTGCTGGGAGCCCGGGGGCCCGGTGCGCGCGGAGCGCAGGCGGCTGCTGCCTCAGGTAGGCACCGCGGCGGCGGCGGGGAGCGGGCGGTGGGCAGAGCCAGCTCACCTGGGACAGGTAAGGGGCCCAGCCAGGAGAGCGCCCGGCAGCTGCTGGGAGCTGGGCAGTGAGTGAGGGCAGGCCGCCCCAGGGGGATGGGCGGGGTGAGGGGAAGGCACAGAGTTGGGTGAGGTCTCACCTGCATTGCCGGTGCCCTGGGGAGGAGGGGGAGGTGGCACCTGACCCGTGGAAGGCAAACTGAGGTGGGGTTTAGGGGCATCTCCAAGACAGCAGGGCTGGGGAAGGCACCGAAACCGTTCGCTCACCTGAGCTGGTCCTGGTGCCCCGCCGGGGAGCTGTGGCCGTTGTCCCTGCCAGGGGCACTCTAGCCCGGAGGGAGGGGCCCTCTGAGGCAGGGGGACCCCCCGCGCCCCCAGAGCAAGACCGCCGAGCATGGTGGGGGCGGCGGGACCCTCGCCCCTGCATTCTCTGCCTGGGTAAGTCCTGCAGCCTTCAAGTGGGGACCTGGCCCCCCGGGTGGCGCAGGCTGGTGTTTGTTCTGGATGGGGCATCTGTCTGGGAGGCACCGGGGCTGGTACAGGTGTGGGCCCTCGGTCTCTCCCAGGAGGAGGAGAGGGAGGTATTTGGGGTCACTGGGGACTGTCGCTTGCTCCAGGCTCCCGGCATACGCCTAGCCTGCCTCCCCGATCGGGGCGGTGAGAGTGGCAGCCTTCTGAGACTGGTTTGCCGAGCCGGGTTTGGATTATGGTGCTGTTGTATGTCTCTCCACCTGGGTGCACAGCGTGTGAGGGACTCGACATGTACCTGTGGCTGCATCCGAGCTCCCTTCTCCCCCTTCGCTGGGGCAGCCAGTGAAGCCAGGTGTGTGTATGCATGTGTGTGTGTGTGTGTGTGTGTGTGTGTGTGTGTGCGCTTGCACACACATGTCTCAAAGTGATCCCTCTGCCCCACTTGCCTGGATGCCCCTCAGGGCACAAATTATGGCATATTCATGGCTGTGCTCCGCCGTGCCAGGCACAAGGCTGTACTTATAAACAGAACTCTCTGTCCTTCCTGAGCGCTGGCCGGGTCATCACCACGGTGACAGACCACGGCGAGGGACACGCCTGGGGTGTCGCCGTTGCAGTGGCTGGTGGCCTGAGCAGGATGGAGGCCAGGGGCAGGATGAGGCCTGGGGGTGCTGGCTGGGGGGCGTTGGCTGCTCCCCTCAGCCTGCTGCTGCTCAGTCATGGCAAAGGGGCCGAGGTCCAGCCAGGGAAGGTGGCGGGGCAGAATCCCTGGACTTGCGGGCCCTCCAGAGGTTATCCAGGCTCCTCTTCTCCCTTAGAGCCTCGAGTTTTCAGGGGAAGGGATGTCACAGCTCCTCCTCCTTATCTGTCTCTATCTTAGACCCTTCTTTCCTTTTTTAATTTTTTAAAAATATTTTTATGGATTTCAGAGAGGACAGGAGAGGGAGAGAGAGATGGAAAGATCAGTGATGAGGGAGGATCATGGATCGGCTGCCTCCTACACACCCCACACCGGGGATCCAGCTCATACTGGGGCATGTGCCCTTGACCGGAATCAAACATGGGACCCTTCCGTCAGCAGGCTGACGCTCTATCCACTGAGCCAAACCAGCTAGGACCCCAGACCTTTCTTGACTTGACTTTCTCTGCTGGTGGGTCTCCTTGACTCCCCGTCTCCCTACCTCTTCCACTCCCATGCAGCCAGCTGTGGGGGAGGTACCAGGGGGGCTGAGGGACAGGCTGTCTGCTGAGATGGAGGGAGGAGCAGGGCACTGGAGGTGGGTGAGCAAGGAGAGGGGAGAAGGAGGGGGAGGGGAACATGTGTGGATGTGTGACAGCCATGGGGACAAGGATGGGGACGAGTGTCTGTCTGCATTCAGATGAGCTGGTTTCCGAGCTGCCTCTTGAGAGAGCCTGGCTCTCACCCATGACTCACTCCCTCCTTTATCTGCAGGACCACACTCTCCCGCCAGCCCAGCCTGTGGCCACTGCCCTGGCTCTGGCTCCAGAGGTGGGGCTGTGGCTGGCTGCCCTCTTCCTTGCCAGCCCCCTTCACCTCCCATCATGCTACCACTCGGGACACTTCCCTGACCTCGGAAAGAGCAGCCAGGTGACCGCCTCCCTTCACCAACTTCTTGTGGACTGTGGAGGACAAACATCTCAGGCTCTCAGGCCCCCTGG